TGCCGCCGCCGCCAGCCGGGGCATAATACGGTAAATAAATACGAGCATGGGGATCCGCGTGTGAACGAAGCCCCACTCCCCCTCCCCTTTTGCTTTCGCTCTCGAGCCGGCGCTTTTTTTTTCTTGAAATTTCCCTCTTAAAATGAAGGTGCGTGTTATACGCCTGTGCGTGTTATACGCCGATAAATACGGTATATGACAGTTTGTTCCAGGATAGAAAAATATGCTTTGCTCTTCTTAGCTGAATGTGGCAATGTTACCATGTCTGGCTCCATTGGTCTTAGAAAAAAAAAAATTGCCTTCTTATTTGACAACTCCCATCATTACTTTTTTCTGATGTTATTTTTGTTCTTAAAGGAAAAAAGATGTTAAGCAGCCAGCCATAAGAAGTATCATGGATCAGCGATCACCAGTGCTTAGTACTTTGCTGCCTCTGGCTAAAGATAGTGCTCAATATCTGTTTCAGGATCATTATCTTCGTCCCAGCAAAATTGCCCCACGTTATATTTCAGAAGACTTACCGGAGTTGTTTTCTATTGTGTCACCCTCCAAGTAAGAAATAATTTCAGTATCATACATTATGTAGTGACAACCTGTTTATTTATTAAATTGTATTTAGCATATTTATTTGTTGTTGTTAATTGCGAAGTCGTGTCCGACCCATCGCGACCCCATGGACAACGTTCCTTCAGGTCTTCCTGTCCTCTACCATCTTCTGGAGTCCATTTAAGTTCACGTCTACTGCTTCAGTGACTCCATCCAGCCACCTCATTCTCTGTCGGCCCCTTCTTCTATTGCCCTCAATCTTTCCCAGCATTAGGCCCTTCTCCAGTGAGTCCTTCCTTCTCATTAGGTGGCCAAAGTATTTGAGTTTCAGCTTCAGGATCTGGCTTTCTAAAGAGCAGTATTTCATGTGTTTCTGGGTGGCATACAACACAACAAAACTCCATACTGTAACAATCTAAAAACAATCAAAAATAAATAAAATAAGCATATAAAGTAAACATATAAAATAAACAAATAAAACCCAAGAAAGCAGGAAAAGAAACATGACTTAATCTTGTACAGTCATCATGCAGGCTCTTTCGGGTTTTCCAAGGCTGGTGAAAAAAAACATGTTTAGAGGGCTTTCTAGAGGGCTAACAATGCAAAAGGGGAAATCCAGGAGTATTTCAAGTTCCAGGCTGCATTCAAAAATTGCAGAACACACACTATGCTGTCCATCTCTGGCATAAGCCATACCGGCATCAAGTTGCTGATGTTTCCATAATGCTTGCCACTGCAGTGCTAGACATCTCTCATCAGAATGCACACTAGCCAGACAGTCCCAACAGGCAAAAAGCTCCTCTCACCAGCACCGCCAGCCAGACCAATGGCCAATCTATGTCCAGCTGCCAGGTCCACATCTAAATGGAACAACTCCAAATAGTTTTATTTTCAATAAATATATCTGCATGATTTATATTTTCAAACATATTCCTTTTACACATTACATTTGTAGGCTTATGCTTAAAACATAATAGACAAATAAGCTCTTGGTTGCTAAAAAATGGCTCGCAGAACACCTTTCTCCTATTTATCTGGAATTCCCAGAATCTTTCCTCCGTTTTAGGTTCATCTTGAACAGATGGGAAAAACAGAGGTGGGAAAAGCAAGAGAAAAGTAACACACTTCATGCTGATACTTAGTTTGGGAGAAATACTAACAAGGTAGATATATTCAGTATCAAACATATTTTGACTAGAAATGTTCAGAGTCAACTGAACAGCTTGGCTTTTGTGACATTTATATCTCTCATTTTGATGAGTTTGATGGAAAGAGCAAGAAACCCAACCACTTCTCATGTATCATTATTTTTATGCCAGCTTTTCTTTAAGGAGCTCAGGACAATTTCTAGGCTTTCCCCCATCTCCTTTTATCTCCATAGCTCCATGAGGTATTCCGAAAGATGTTAATTAACTTAAGTCTCTGAATTTGTGCCTAAGCACAAATTTAAACTTGTATCTCCCTTGTCATATTTTAATGTTTTTATCACTACACCATTGTTTGTAGCCTTGCTTAGATCTCTTGGGTGGCTATATTTTATTTATTCAATCCAGTTTTCAGTTGTGATGAAACAGGCCTTACAAAGTTTTGCCAATCCTATTTGAGTGATGAGATTATTGTCTCTCTGCTATCTAATTAATTTTTTTTATTTTCATATACTTTATTACATTTATAGTTGCTTCCCTCCAATGAATTGAAGATTGCATATTGAGCTCTTGAGTGTATTTAACATCCCTGTCTTTTTTCCTGCAACAGGATTGGCATTATAGGATCTCAACGCAACAAATTTGTCCCTCATACCCTTTTACCAATTGGGAGCACGGAGGATGAGAAGGAAAATGGGGAGAATCTTGAAAGAGGAAGTGCCTCTTCAGTACTGTCACAGGAAATAACCCCAGGTTCTAGCAGGGCTGTTCAAAGTAGTGGCAGCCACCAATCTCTGCCAGTTTCACGAGCTACAACTGAAGGAGACTATATTGAAAATCCATAGTAATACATGCTAGTATGAGAGATACAATGCCTATGTATTAAATCTCTTGGCAGCTTTCTAATTAGCTTTTGATTTTATCCATTACTTATGCCTGAGGAAATATGGCCAGTTTAATACTATTAAATGCCACAGTGCTGCCCAAAAATAATAAATCAAAAATCCTCATGAGAACAAATACTATAAACATATGTTTCATTTGTACCAGTTTAACTGCTATAGGTATTCAGCCAAAAATGCTGGGAATGTAAACTAGCTTTCAGTATTTGTAATTTGAATATCTGAAGATATTTCTAATCATACATGAATTTTTTTATGACTAATAAAGCAGTTTAAACTGGAACTTTATATAGAGTATAAGTTTGTAAATTATGTCTGTAAAACCATGGCTTGCTTTAGCCCAACTGACTCATTTGCTTGAGTTCAATACAACACAATCAACCACATTTAAAGTTTCTCAACAGATTGGTTTTGCAAAAAAAAAATATCATGTCTTTCAAAGGAATGTACTGTATAATTAATCAAACTGTATGATTTTCAAACAGGTAAAAGTACATAAAAATTATAAGAGACGTAGGCAAGAGTTTAACTACTTTAAAAGGATTTCTGAAGATTTGACAAAACTGTTACTTAATGTGGAAGACAATGTGTAATGTAGTAAGAAGAGACTGGACAGCCACTTGTCTGGAATGGTATAGAGACTCCTGCTTGAGCAGGGGGTTGGACTGGAAGAACCCCAACGTCCCTTCCAACTGTGTTATTCAGTTCTGTTCAATACAAATGTAGAAAGACACTCTTTTACTGAATGGATGTTGAAAACCTATGATATTGTAAACAAGGAATCTCTGCCTTGCATCTTCATTTTACAAATCCCTCAAAGATGTAAAATATGAATTTTCCAAATAGTCCTGGAAGATCAGTTGGAACATCTATGTTCCATGCAACTAAGATGATACAAGGCCTGGAGACTAAAACATATGAAGAATGGCTGCAGGACTTGGCTAATCTAAAGAAAAGAAGAAATAGGGGTGACATGATAGCAGTATTCCAGTATTTGAGGGGCTGCCACAAAGAAGAGGGGGTCAAATTATTCTCCAAAGCACCAGAGGGCAGGACAAGAAACAATGGTTGGAAACTGGTCAAAGAGAGAAGCAACCTGGAATTAAGGAGAAACTTCCTGGGACTTCCGGTGGCAGGCGATTTCGTCGGTCGCAGCTGTTTGCTGCCTCCCGCCTGTTTTGCGTAAAAGCCGGTTTGACAGCCAGCATCAGCTGTCAAACGGCTTGATACCTTTCCCCTGGGCATAAGGGGATAGGTGAGCTGCCCGGGGTAGGAGTTGAGTTCCCGAGTCGTCCTATATGGACGATGTAGGCGA